CCATGAGCACAGCCCCCTACCAACGGGATGAGCCTGCAAAAGGCAGAAGCTGTGAGTTGACCTTTGACAGGTTTCCCTATAGTCATCAGCCTTTGCAGTTTCCAGACACACTGCTTTGGTACACTGAGCTCAACAGCCATTCACATTTAAAACAGAGGATGGGAAGAATCCTTCTGAGACATTTTGGCTTCTAGGGAAGAGAAGAAACATAATCTCCAAAACTGGTGAAGCCTCTCGGTGAGCCACAAGCGATCAGCAGGCTGTGTTCACTGAGATAAGAACAATCATCAGTAACATTACTGGTGTTCCTGCCCCAGCAGGAACCTTTGATGACACCCAGGCACCTTTATGTGATTACTTAATTGTTGGTGTTCCCTCCCTGAGACAGGTCCTCACTGATGACACCCAAGCACCTTTAAGAGATGACATATTTGCTTGTGAAATCCACTTCAAATTATTCCTCATTTTAAACTGATTATATTAGCTACTATGTGTTCCTCTTAGCTTTTGTTGAATGTTTAGTCCACAAAACACTATTAGGACTAGCCTATAATACATTGAGCCCTGATATTTTCATGAAGTCCTCTAAATGGTGTATTTTGTTTTTATTTCCTTTTCCTACTGCTTATCTGAATACATACGAGTCTGAGTAACCAAGGGTTCTCTAAAATGAACGATGTGCTTCTTTGGATGAATGCCTTCAGTGTAAGGATTCTCTTTTATTGGGGATACATTAAGGTGAATTTCACATCTCTGACGCTCAGGCATTTAAAAAATAGACATAGAGAGAGAGAGACATTCTGAGGGAAAGTTAGACCTCCAAATTTATCTTATGCTGCAGTAGGCTTTTATGTCCTATTTTAAGAACTAGTGCTGGCTCTCTAGTTTAATGAGCAGTTTAATTTAAAGCTTAAAATTATTAAGTATTCCAATAGAGTCATAAATAATGCAGTTTATAATATTCTTATCAAGCACATGAAGATACATTTGTCTTCCATTAACGACATACTTTTTAAAGTAGCCTGACCTCTTCAGATATATAAGAGCATGCAATTAGGGCAATTTGTCACAGGCCTTTTACACGTTAATAAGATGTAATTAATTGTCTGTTTTGTCTAATTAACTTTTCAGACACTGGCAGCTCCTGTTCTTCTGCTGTAGTGCAAGGAAGCAAGAAGAACTTATTTGCAATTCTAATATTTGACCAAGACTTCTGACCATAAACTCTAATCCACACACATACATACACCCAAAAAAGTAGAATAGAAGGTGATGGAAAAATTAAACTAGGAAATACCACATTATAGTTTAACCTAAAAAGTAGGGAAAATGCTACATTAAGCATGATTCAGATTAGAATATAAATGACATGAGAAAAAGTAGAACCATACTTAAGACTTTCCATATAAAATACATTATCCATACATTCTTTATGTAAGCAATCTCATTAATTTGTTCCCCTTTGAGAGTCAACTATTCCAAGACAGTTTGTTAGGAGTTAGAGTTTCAGAAGAGCTATGATAAAGACCTTGTCCTTGGTGAGCTGCCATGACATCAATGGTTGAATTAATTGAGCCCTGAAGATTTCTGCACTAAATTCATAATCTTTTTAAGTTTTGAAATGAAGATGAGAACCAGTATCATTAGCATATTTGTTCAGTATGTGCTAATGTATTTAGTCATTCACATTGTAAAATTAGGACATTGGTTACACACATTTGAGAACTTTGAGAAATATTATGCTGTACATTATTTTCTTTATTAGTTCTTTGACTCAAAGTGTCACTAGCCCAAGGAGCCTCCAAATCCTTTTATAGGGCAGGTGGGACTGTATCTTCTGACCATCCTGCCTCCACCTCACAATGCTGAGATTGCAGATTTAAACCACCACACACATAAAAAATTACTTTATGCAGTATTTTTAGACATTTTTCAAATCTATGATTTTAATGAATAAAATAAATCTCATTATTTAACCATAATTTATTTAATATTGACTGTAAGGCAAATCATCCATGGCCCTTTAAAAAGTTCCAGATAGTATCAAATGCTGCCACTTGCATAGAGTGAAAGAAATTTTTCTTCATTGCTGGTGAGTCTACAAAATTGTAAAGCCACTTTGGAAGACAGTTGGCAGTGACTTAATTAGATAAACTTCATACAACCCACCTGTCACTTCCTGGTATACCAAAATGAGTTTGAAGCATGTTCATGCAAAACTCTACACATAAAATAGTACCAAGGCTGTAATTATAGATAGAGCCTCTCTATATGATTGCAATAGACTCTCAAGTGGAAGGTGGTTTTCCATTATAGCATATTTAGCTGATTACAAATTACAGGTCAAATAGTACAATATTTGGCATTCTTCATAGCTAAGATTATTTTGTTTGGTTGGTTGGCTTTTGTTTATTTGTGTCTAGTGTTCACCTTAGATTTGAGTTCTTGCACAATAGGTGTACTATGTGCATGCATGATACTTGTGGAGGCCAGAAGAAGGGGTAGATCCTTTCAAACCGGAGTTACAGAAGGTTGTAAGCTGCCATGTAGGTAGTATTGACCCCTCTGAAAGAGTAGCCAGTGTTTTTAATTGATGAGCCATCTTTCCAGCCCCAAATTTAAAAAAAAAATGTTTTTTTGAGACAGGATTTCTCTGTAGCTTTGGAAACAGTCCCAAAACTCCCTCTGTAGACCAGGCTGGCCTTGAACTCACAGAGATCCACCTGCCTCTGCCTCCTGAGTGCTGAGATTAAAGATGTGTGCCACCACTGCCCAAATCAAATTAAAAATTTTAAAACTATATCATATACAAAAATATCTAGAAATAGGATTTCTGCTTATAAATACCAGTCTAGGAAGGATTGTTTAATTACTTTAAAAATTCACATTTAATTAAGAAGGGTGTTTGCATGGTGGAATTTTAAAGATGTCTATCTAACATATTTAAGAACCATGAAGACAAATAATCAAAGAGAATCTTTAAATTACAGTGACTGTACGAACATCCCATGAGACCTCTGCTAACAAGTCCTAATCTATACTTTATTTGAAAACTATTAAAGTCTCCTATCATGATTGTAGCAAACATATTCTTCATTCTTTTTTATTTTTACTGTGATAAAATGAATGCCTTAGCAGATGACTCTTTGCAGTCTCATTGTCACATCTTCCAAGTTCTGATCCTACCTTTGTCTTCACCAGTGTGTGGCCAAGCACAAACTCCTCAAGCATGCAGGCCTCAGTTTCTTCATCAGAAAAGCATCTGTCTCACTGAGGAAGCAGGAGGATTAGCTGTGTCAATAAATGCAGAACACTTAGACAGCTCTTCTTTGGTGGCTAATGATCCCTAAGGAAGCATACCATTAAACTGGATTAACACTCTCTCTTCCCCAATATTCACCTGCATGCCAATCAATCGTTAGTCCCTTTAAATTCATGCTGAGTCTTATACTTTTATTTCAAGGTTTTATTTATACCAGTCATCCTTTTAATTTATATTGGAGCTACAATGACATAAATGAATAAACAAATGCACAAAGTACCTGTGTAAATATGTACAACACAGGCTGTGTAAGAAGTGACTTAAATCTTGTTTCAATTTGTTATTTAGTCACATTCCTAAATTCTGTATGAGTTTCAAAGATTATTTCTTGGTCATTTGTGGTTATGATGGATTACTGGAGCATGGATAATTTATAATGAATATAGAATTATTTGGTCACTGTACCGGAGGCCAGGGAATTCAGTATCAAAGAGTGGGAACAAGGTGGGTCAAAGCCTACTGGATAATGTCCCCATCTCACCAGTGATTGCAGAGCATCAGTGTGGTCAAATGAATGACCTCTCAATAACTCTTGTAATTATGTACTCTTTATATGGTATTTTTTTAAGTTTAAATTAGAAACAAGATTGTTTTACATGTCAATTCCAGTTCCCTCTGCCCCCACTGACCCCTGTCCCATCCCCTTTCTGCTCCCTTGGGAGGGTGAGGCCTTCGATTGGGGATCTTCAAAGTCTGTCATATCATTTGGAGCAGGGCCTAGGCCCTCCCCCATTTGTCTAGGCTAAGAGAGAGTATTCCTCTATGTGGATGGTCTCCCAAAGTCCATTTGTATACTAGGGATAAATACCGGTCCAATACCAGAGGCCCCATAGATTGCCCAGGCCTCCTAACTGACACGCGTGTTCAGAGGATCTGGATCAGTCCTATGCTGGTTTCCCAGCTATCAGTCTGGGGTCCATGAGCTCCCCCTTGTTCAAATCACCTGTCTCTGTGTGTTTCTCCAGCTTAGTCTTGACCCCCTTGCTCCTCTCTCTCTGCAACTGGATTCCAGGAGTTCAGCTCAGTGTTTAGCTGTGAGTGTCTGCTTCTGATTCTATCAGCTACTGCATGAATATTATTTCAAGTTTATTCTTCAAACATGTAATTGGATTCCCCATAAGTTTCCAATCTGATCTTTGTCATTAATCTATATTTGTAAGCTTTAAAAAAAGAAAAACCTATTAATTGTTTTTTTATTTTTGTCTTGATTCTACTTAGATTTCCTGAGTTCATCTCTCCTTTATTGGAGACCATATCTTTCAGTACGTTTTTGTTTCTTTTTCTGTTAGAGCATGTATATTCATTTGCTGATCTAAATTAAGGAACTAGTTCTTATAACTGTAATTATTTCTGGCTTTTTTCTGAATTTTTGCAAAACACATTGTGCTTGTTAATTGCTTTTGTTTGTTTGTTGTATGTCTATTTGTTTGTCAACTTGATGCAAGGTCAAGTCATTTAAGAAGAGTGAAAGTCAATTGAGAAAATGCCTCCTTCAGATTGGCCTGTAGACAAGACTGTGCAGGCATTATTTTGAATGATGATTGATGCTGGGAAGACCCAGCCCACTGTTAGCTCTACCACCTGTGGCCAAGTGGTCCTTGGTCATACAGAAAGGCGGGTTGGACAAGCCATGAGTGAGCAAGCCAGTAAGCAGTGTTCCTCCATGTTTCTTCTTCAGTTCCTGCCTCTGGGTTCCTGCTTTGAGTTTCTGCCCTGACCTCCCTCAATAATGAACTCTAATAAGGAAAAGAGAATAAACCCTTTACTCCTCAAGTTTTCATGGTAACAATCAAACTAGGAAGCAGGTAATGTTTTTAAAAATTATTTCAAGGACTGGGGAATCTGGATTTATGCTCATTGTGAACTTTGCAGAATCAAAAATCACGTTGGAGAAAAATCTTTGGGCATGTCTGTGGAATGTCTTAGAGATTAGTTTAACAGAATTGATAAGATGCTCCTCCTCCACCAAGTGTGGGCAGCATCATTTTTAAGGCTGAAGTCCTAGACTGGATAAAACAGAAAATGTGGATAGAAGGAGAAACTAAATGAGCATGGACATTCATCACTCTGTGCTTCTTGATTGTGAATGCAATGTGACAAGCTGGTCATCTATTCCTGCCACTGTACCTTCTTTGCCTGCCAGCAAATCTTTTCTGCCACAGTGGAATCCTCTTGAACCACAAAAAGAGTAAATCCTTCATTCCTTAAACTGCTTTTGTCAGGTATTTTATTACAATAGAAATAAAACTAAGAGAAACAAATTGGTACCCAAATGTGGTGCCCTAGCTGTGATAAAGGTGGCTAAGGGTTTGGGACTTTTACAAGTGGTTTTAAGGGGGATTGTGGAAGAGTTCTGACTCAGACTCAGGAAGTGCTACAGCAGAGCTTAGTGGACCATGCTGCTAGGAGCTGAAAGAAATATGCTCAGTGGCATCCTAGCTTTTGGGATTTCAGAAGGGAACAGGGACTCTATTCAGAATTGGAGTAAGGGTCATTTATGCAATATTTTCACAAAGACACTGGCTTCCTTACCCTGTTATCTCAAGAATTTGGTGTATTAGTTACTTTCTTATTGTTGTGAAAAATATTTGACTGACACAATTTAAGGAAGGATGTGCTTGTTTTAGATTATAATTCAAATTGAAGTCTGTCTTGGAAGGGAAATCATGGCAGCAGGCAGGAAAAGAATAGTGACAGGAGTGAGAAGTGGCAGGAGAGACTAGCCATGCATGCCCACAGTCAACAATCAGAGGCAGAAGAACACTGGTGGCCAGTGCAATTTTTCTTTCATTCACTCCAGCAGTTAGGATGGGTCTTCCTAGTGAATTATCCTAACCTAAAAGAACATGTATTGAGGGACATGTCTCCTTGTTGATTACATATCCAGTAAAGTTGACGACCAGAATTAGCCATCACATTGACTGAGGCTGAAGACAGAAGTAGGGAATGAGTTTGCTTGGTGAAGAACAATTGAAGATAGTGTATCATTCTGGGTATTGTTTGCTCTTCTCATCGAAGTCTATGGTGAAAAGAGCAATCAGTCTGTGTGTCTTACCCTAAATCTGGGCAGCATTACTCTCTGAGCCCTGGTCCTGGATTGTGTAACAAGAAAAAAAAAAAAAAAAAAAAACAAGGATCCATGAGCTTCCTTCACTCTCTGCCTCCTGTTTGTGGATGCACTGTGACAAGCTGGCCTCTTAATATTGTTGTCATATTATCCCTTACACAAAGAAAGGATTTTTTTTTTACTGTAAACCGAAATAAACCCTTCTCCCTTAAATCCTTTTGGTCAGGTATTTCATCACAACAATAGAAAAATAACTAATATTTTGTGTAGCTGAGTGGTAAACATCATGCACAAAGACATAGTTTTAATACTTAGCACCACAAGATGATGATATATTAAAATAATAATAATAATAAACCTCAGATTTTAATACTTGACAAGCAGAAGTTTTTTCTGGGTCTACTTTTTTGCCTATAAGCTGGATAGAGTAGATGATTTGCTTTCAGTATTTCTCGCTGCATAAATGGATGTTAGCAACATGCTGACGCTATCCCCTACACAGACCTACTGCTCTGGTTCGGACAGGTGTTTGACAAAGAAAAATGTGTTCTTCTTCCCATTGTACTCCTGATGGAACATGGAAGACTTGAGAATTAAGACCCAGTGGGAGAAAGAAGGTCCTTTATGGGGCTCTGGTATCTGTTGCCCCATTTTTGGCTGCTGGCCATCACCTCTGAGTGAGCAGCACTCTGTGTCACTGGATTGTCTCTCTGATGTGCTAATCCATTACATGCATGAGAGGAATGGAGAGAAATTTCCAAAGCTGTAGGCTAAAGCAAACTTTGTATCTTTTAAAGTTGATCACATGACTCCAAAATCACCTGCATCTCCTCCTTCAATGTTGGCTTCATCCACTGTGATTGAAACTTGTTTTAGCATGTGTATAGACTCTGTGGTCTCAAGAAACAGCTGAAAATTCCATTATTAAATACCACATCAAAGCATACTGGTATAATCATTATAAAAGTTTTTGTTTTGTTTTGTTTTTATTATCTTTTCAAAGTAGACAACACATCAACTCCATAAGATTCCAGTAATGCTAGGCTTTGATGGCTAAAGCCAGATAATATTGACACTAGAGGGGGCCTCATCATCATCGAGGATTGTCTCTGAATTGTATATTTAACAGAAAAGTTGGCCAGGGAACTGAAACAATGGATGATGGTTCCACAGGGGAGACTGGAATCCAATGGAAGTTCACATAGAACAGAGATTTTTCTAAGATGTTTCTTGGACTCCTGCATCAGCATAGTGAACACACAAAGCACAAAAATTCACTGATTTAGAAGTTAGTTACCATCATACAAGAATACACAATTAGTAACTAAGTTAGTGCTCTTACACACACACACACACACACACACACACACACACAAGAACCTTCTGTGTCCATGTAATAATGTTTTCAAAACCTTCCAAGTGAATGTCACTGCTTAGGAAGTGACAAGATGCCAGGCTAGCCACAGGAAGATGAGCATTCGGTGAGCCTGTTACAAAATCTGGCACTTTAGAATTAGACTCTTGCCTGAAATTCAGTACAATACTAAATTGACAAAGGAAGAAAAAGATGAGTATTTGTTGTTAGGTTCATACATAAGGCACATCACTTAAGGAGGTACTGAAGATCAGCTTCTTCCAGTAGCATAAAAAATGGAGTATCTTCTCATCATTAATTCAATGTGCATAAAAGGAGTTTATCTTTGTAAAACACATGAAATTCCATTTGCAAGTTCCACTCAACACCTTTTCCTTTTTTTCTACACCTTTAGCCATATATGGTTCAAAGTACCAGATTTCAAGGGAATGCCTGTTCTTTTGTGACATATTAGCTAGCTTCAAAAAGGCCCTATTTCTGTAAATAAAAAAAAAATGGTAATTGACTGTTGTTAGAGAAAACTGTCTATTTGGCAGTAGTGACACAGCTGCCACCTGGAGGTCTGTTATCTAAATTACAGAATTGGGTCTGAAAATAGAACAGTTTTTAATTTTATTTATTAAGTTTTTAGATTCAGTCATTTAAAGGAAAAAATTCTGTCATAAACATCAATATAATTTTAAAGTAAAGTATATAAAGCACGATACACAGAAATGATTGAAAAATGGATCCGAAATGAAAAACATCCCAATTTTAAGGTTCCCAAGAATAAGAGATGACCACACTTGTTTCGCACCTGTTCTGTAACAGGCATGGTCAAAACCTAAAAACACATGTTATTAGTGAGAGTGGCTCAGGCATTACTACTTTCACACACTCAGATAAGCATGGCAGGAAGACTCAGTAACATTTCTGGATTTTTTTACAAGCTAGTTTGAATGTTTTATTCTCTGCCTATAGTTTCCCATGCGGAACAACCAGACAGAAAAGTGACAGGAAAAGGTGTCATTCTAAGTAGACACTAGATTCACAGGGTTTGTGAAGGCTTGATCGTTCTAATCTTATCCTGTGTGTTCAGACGTAATCATTTACACCCTTCAGCAGTCCTCTAGGGAAATGAATCACTCCATCCAATGCCATGTCTAAAACTGATTCAGAAGATTCAGGACCCCTAATTACAGTGTTGAAAGCAAACACTTCTCAATGAGTACACAAATTAGATTTCTCCCCCAGGCTTTCGTAAGGACTCCCAAATTACGTAATTGCTCATTGACTATTTCAAATAAGTTTGAAAAACTCTGAAATAAAGGTCTGCAATGTCCTGCAATTAATACCAAAATGTCAATTGACAAGACAGATTGTCTGATTAGTACAACAGTTTATGTGGGGACTGTGCAACATGCATCATTATAATCTCACCTTTCCCCAGAATATATAATTAATCTTCTCATGTCTTAGCTTTCTAAACATTGGGATACACCACCCGTGGGAAGACCCTATCTGAAAAGCATAATCTACTGGCTCTGGGGAGATGGCTCTGTGGTTAAAGATGAGTACTGCCCTTCGAGAGGATCCATGTCAGGCAGCTCACAAACAGCAGTAATGCCAACTTCAGGGAACCCAGACACTTTTGGGCTCTGTGAGTGAGCACCTTCATTCACTTGTGCCTGCCTACACAGTATGTCAGTACTGAATATTTATTCACAAAATTGAAGTGAAAAGTACCTGTTTAGTGAAGTCATAGTTCATAAATGTCTTGATGCGAAAGATTATCATGAATTAATACTAAACATGATCTCTGAATGATCTGGTCACTTGCCCCACATAGCTACTTCCTTGAAGAAATGAATTTATTCTTACTTCAGTCTGTGAAATAACTTTATGTACACATTTTTTGATGGTGATGAAAATAAATAGAAAGACAGACAGACAGACTTTTTAACAAAAGTATTTATAGAAAATGTAAAGTTTCCAGAGAAAGAGCATATAATTTTGAGTACAGGATTTATGTTTGCTTGTATGAAATTCTGTAGTGAAAAAACTACTAGGGTGAAGGCTCTGTCTGGTTTTGGAACAGCTAAATGATCTTATATAAATCTTCCCGTGCTGTATTGCATATAGACTGACAGGGACAGAATAAAAACCAAAGCAAATATGAGGTAAAAATGATTTTTTATTACTTTAGGTATTTCTAGATGTCAGATAAAAATGAGAACATTGCTAAAAATTTTACAGAGTGACAGCTCTGCCTTATGGATAAAATTCTACAGTTTGATGTATGAGGCAGAAAATGTGAAAAATATTGAGAAGTGCTGCCCTGACATGATGATGGAAGGGAGCTGGGTGAGTGTGAGCACCATAGAAGTGTAGTGGAGCAAAGTCAAACTAGAGAAGGATATAGTCCTTTTTGAATCCTGCCGACTACAGAAGCACAAACTACAAACTGTTCACTTTTGTTTCACCTTTTTAATGAACTTTTAGACATGCTCCTTTATTGATTTCCTTGAAGAATAGCTTCTCAGCTCTTTCCATTGCATATTTGTTTTCCAGATACAAAATAAATCTGAAAAGTTCTTTAACAATGGAGATTCAGTCCTCTGCTGTTTTGAAAAGATGACTAATATTTTATACTCCTGTTCTTGCTCCATTTAGGCATTTCTAAGTATACCTCAGCCCACATGGGAACATACACTGTATGATCATGTAGTGAAGTTAGCCATTGAGGAATGATATAATTTAAGTACCCTGTCTCCTTCCCTCTAAGGGAACTTACCTGCAGTTCAAACTATTGAAGTCCTTGCTCCCAAGATTTTGCTCTTGCACTGAATTAGATGAGCAGTGGGGCCTGAGGCCTTTGGTTTATACTGTTTAGACTCCTGGACAAGTCTGGATTCATAAATCTTTCTATGTCTGAAAAAAATGACCTCCTTGGCTCCCTACAAAACATCTTTCCTTTAAATAAATTATGTTCTTCTTAACTTATCTAAAACTATTTCTGAAGTAGAATACTTAATGGCTGAGCTGTGTCATAGAGTAAAACTGGTCTAGGAAGATGGCAAGGAGAGTGAGTTTAATCTCTAGAACCCCATGAAAAGCCAAGAACATGTGAGGGCTAACTGCATGGTCCAACCAGCAAGCAGAGCTAGGGAATTCCTAAAGCAAGCTGGCCAGTTAGAATAGCTATTTGGTGAGCTCTGTGGTCAACTGAGCTCATGATGACTGATAACTCAGGCATGAGACTCCATGACTAAGGCAACAAACAACCAAGGAAGACACCTGGCATCAACCTTGGGACTCCACATCACCATATGCCCACATAGGAGTATCCATGCGTACAGATGACCATGACACATGCAGATGGCATGCACACATACACAAACACATCATATAGACGTATGGTAAGCTTCATGACATATGGGTATATTTGGACATGGCAAGTAAATCCTGAATCCTCTAGTAAGATAAGTTCTGTTCTTCCACACACAGAGATGAGATACCACACGACTCTCACAGAAACACAGTCATCACCACATCATATTTCTGTTTTAAAAATCCTTCTTGGTAGAATTATTTATATTCCCACAAATACAATCAGCTGCTAAGTTTTTCTTTTTTAACTAAAAATATTCAAATACACATACAGTTCTTCTAATACACCCCCTACTTTTATTTCTTCCTCTCATCAGTCCTCCTTTGTTCCTTTTTCACTTCAACTTTCATGTCATATATACATACATGTTTTTAAGTATGTGCATAAAATTTAGAATGACAAATGGGATAAAACACAGCATTTGTCCTTCCAAGACAGGTTTAATTCGCTGAATATGAAAACCTCCAGCTACAACTTTTTTGTAAAGCAACATAACTTCATCTTTATGTTTAAGAAAAATTTACATACACACACACACACACACACAAATGCGTGTGTGTGTGTGTGTGTGTGTGTGTGTGTGTGTGTGTAATACCATATTTTCTGTAACCATTCTACCATTTGTTTTGGATACCTAGTTTACATCTATAAATTAGCTATTGAGAATATTGCTGTAATAGATGATATGCAAGTGTCCCTCGGATGTGTTGATTTCATTAAAAATCAGATTCTCTATGGACTGATGAAAAGACAAATAAATGCTATTCAATCGTGTGTGTGTGTGTGTGTGTGTGTGTGTGTGTGTGTGTGTGTGTCTGTAGCAATCAACCTTTGTGCATTAATTTTGAATTAAATAATACATAATGTATCTTTCTGACATAATGTAATTATTAACACTAACATTATGCCAAACTTTTCCATCAGAATATAGCCTATATATATATTTCTGTCATTAATTTAATTATTAACATTAACATTATTTCAAACTTTTTCAGCAGAATATGGTCTACAAAACAAACTTATATTTCACATTAGTTGTGGGCTAAATGTATATTTGTCTAAGATATTACTAAACATTAGTATGGTATGGGAGTGAACTTGGGAGTTCACCATGCTAAGCACAAAGTCTACCACTGAGTGACTGTCCCAGCCTCACTTGTGCATTTTATCTTGAGACATGGACAAAGTTGAACTTAAACTTTCTCTGTGGCCCAGATAGAACACATAATCACCCTGCCTCTGTTTCCATTTATGTCTTAGCCTGGCATAATATTGACAAGCATTCTGTTAAAACAATTGATGCCTATTCACTAAGTGTTTATTTAACTTCATTGTATCCCACCTCATTTAAATCCCAGAATCTCCCAGTGAACATAAGCCAAGTGCTAAGTGGGAAGCTCACATTGAAAAATATGTGCTGTCCTTGTTGGATTTGGTGGCATAAACCTGCAGTATCTGCTACTTGAACTGCTGCTCCTGATGAGGCATTAGGATTGCAACTTCAAAAAGAATTCAAGGCCATTTGAAAAGACATATCCAGTCCATGGATCCAAGACTTAAGAGGTAAAAAGAGTCCTGAGAGCATTACACAATGGTGGGGCACTTTCTAGAATGCACAAAGCCCAGGATTCATCCCTAGTACAGATAAGGGAAAAAAATAATTCTTTGGTATGTTCTCTGTGAACATTCTTCCCAGCCTTCTGAATTCTATACATCGAACATAAGGATTTTGTCAGGAAAATGGCAGTTTTAAAGTATAAATAGGACACACTTTACAGGTAATATTGGCTAGAATTATGAAGTCTAATTGAATTTCTTCATAAGGTGTTTGCATCAGGAAATTACTGGAAATATTTTTAAATAGCTACTATAAACAAATGTGCATTACAAAGAATATTTACAATATAGCTGATGCAATGGCTCAGCAGGTAAGATTATGAGCTGTACAAGCTATATGACCTGAGTTCCATTCCGGAATTCTACATAGTAGGAGAGAACTGACTACAGAAAGTTGTTACCTGACCTGCACATAGCAAAGGCAGACACACGTACTTGTGCACATGCACATACATACACACAGGTACTCTCTCTTACACACACACACACACACACACACACACACACACACACGAATAATTTAGTTTTAAAAATTAACTCTAGTATACCTTATACATCCCTGACATTTTCTCACAGACTACAGGGTACTATAAGATTTGCTTGAAATAGATTTTGGCTTATTATTTTTAAAATACCTATGGAAAATGCCATACATCGATAATTTGCTAGTGTTAAGGCTGTAAATTGTTAATGGAAGTAGCTTTTGAGTCTCCTTAACCTTCAGTGACATTTTTTGATTTTTGTTGTCTAAATGGTTCTCCTGCTTAATATGTGTGAATGTTTCCTCAGATCCCCTCTGACACGATCTCAGTTCAACATTAGCTGATCACACATTTTCTTCCCACTGGATGTAAGATGAATAAGGAGTTCTGAATGCATCAATGTGCAAAAGACAGTATATTTTCATGGAAAATAATCACAAACAACAAACTTAGAGTAAAATTATGCATGAATGTTGCTTTTATTCAAATATAATTTTTAAGCTCAATTGTCAGTATTTTCTCAAACATGACACAACACTGCAATGGGACAATCTCTAAGTTAAGACTTGTAAACTTCAACTTTATAGAAGTACTTTTAGAAAATTCTGTGACGTGGGATGTCTTTCTGTATGTTTTGAATATGTGTTGCTCTGATTGGTTGATGAAAAATAAAGCTGCGTTGGCCTAGGACAAGGAAGGATAGAGCCAGACAGGAAATCCAAGCAGAGATACAGGAGTTGAAAGGTAGCATCTGGGAGACATCAGCAGTCATCAAGGAACAACATGCAAGAGCACCACCTGTAAAACCACAGGCCATGCGACAATACACAGATTAATAGAAATGGGTTAATTTAAATATAGGAGCTAGCTAGTATTAAGCCTGAGCCATTGGCCAAATATTTATAATTAATATATAATTCTCTGAGTGATTATTTAGGAATGGGTATGGGGCTGAGCAGGACAAAAAAAAGCCTTTGGTTACAGTTCTGATGTATTGCTTACCAAAGTTTATGTTATTATACCTAGAATAATTCTATCTGTTGCCAATGGTTTAGAACATAACCTCTGGCTTCTTTTGGCACATGGCAGTTAAAAGAGCAATCTTTCTGTATTTATATGACAGAGGAGACACAATACATTATGCACAAATAACAGTGTGCAAAATATAATCCATCCACACCCATATTCAAAGGGCGTTTCCTAAAATTCCTGTCAGTGCTGATTTTTTAATCACGCTGTTTATGCTTTAAATGCATTTATATCCCCTCTTGTTGCAATTATTCCCCTTATCACATCCTTCCCTCTAGTAAACAACTACCTTTGGGATGAGATATTTTTGTTAAAATGCTACTTATACTGACCTTCCTGAAAGTTATAAAGGTTTATGTGGGATAGGTTGTATTAGATCCACTTTTCTCCTTGCTTTTGATCAATAAAATTAAGAAAGCTCTCCCCAAGAATTTTGATAATCCTTTGTATCTATTGGATCTAGTATTATTGCCAATACAATGTTTTTTTATTTGGTTAAACCAGGAATAGTTGCTGGAATACAAAGATAGTTCTCAAAGTGCCCTGTATAATTCATAATATGACTAATAATATAGCAAAAATATTAGCAGACATTAATCAAAAGATGGGTAAATTGAAGATCACAATTTTACAAAATAGAACTACTATAGTTGTTACTCAAATATAATCTTAGTTTTCAACAATTTCCTGGGATATCTTGCTTTAATATGTAAGATTTTTCCCATACTACTGGTAGGCAAATTAATGATTTGCATAGAGAGACACACAAATTCTCTCAAGGAACTTTTGAATGGGCATTATGGCTAAATTGTCTTTCTCCTTTCCTTGGTCCTCTGTTATCTATTATAATTCTCTTACGCTTGACTATGTTAATTAGATTAGCCATAAAGTCAAGGAATTCATTCATGGCCACTATTACAGACACTACCTCTTCCTTAAAAAATTAGAAATGGGGAGATGCTGAAGGATGTGAAGTCCATGTGCTTACAGAAAGAATTAGAGAAACCAGAATTATTAAACAGGCTTTTTGCTTCAATGAAAGAAGTTGACACCTGTTTACCAGGAAGGATGGAGTGGACACTGTTTATTATTAACCTGGTAATCTTTTGCTATTCTGTGGATCCAGCCCTCACTCTAATCCTTCAGACTCATGAGCACCATTACTGACTCAATAGAAGCTATCTATGGTAAAGAAACCACACATACTCTACAAAAGACATGTACTTTATAAGGGACTTACAATGTAGTCATGCCTTTGGCTTTATTGTGATAATTATCCTGAGAAAACTTTTCCCAAAGTTTTATTGTCTTAAAATGTGTAAAATAAATAAATAAGCCACTTGGTGTCAGAACCCAGAAGTTAGAGCCAGCCTGGCTAAGTAAGGCTGAACCAAGATTCCTTCTTATTTCATGAGGATGATTTCCCTCCCAACCATGATACCTACAGGGATCCCACCTCAAAGATTTATTCCTAAATTTTCTGTTACTTCTGCTAACTATAATATATAACACAATATAATTTCTTTTTGCAGAAGGATGGGTCAGAAGTTACCAAGCATTGAGTTGGTCTTATACATACTGGATTTGAACTCATGCTGTCTGTATTCTAGGCAAGTTTTGGATTTGCAATCCTCTAACCTCAGCCTCCCAGAGACCTGGGATTACATATGTGCATCACCAGGCACAGCACAACTATTATGCTATATTGATGTTTTATTCTGTAACTTTGTTCAATTTACCAATTATAACAGGTTCTTGTAGTGTCTTTAAGATTAGAGGTAAATGACCATGTAGTCTTAGTTACAGTGTCTATTGCTGTGAAGAGACACCATGATCATGGCAACTCTTATAAAGGAAAACATTTAATGGGCCTGTCTTAGAGTATAGAAGTTTAGTCCCTTTTGTTATGGCAGGAATCATAGCAATATACAAGTAGATATAGTACTGGAGAATTAGCTGAGAGCTCTAACCCAGGATCAGCAGACAGCAGGAAGAGAGAGTGACACTGGGCCTGACTTGCCCATCTAAAACCTAAAATCCCACCCATACTTCCTCCATCAAGGATACATCCACTCCAACAAGTCCACATCTCCCAATGGTGTCAACTCTATGAGCCTATGTGGGCCATTTTCTTTCAAGCTACCACTCATGCCATTTACAGAAACAATCTTAGTTCACTTCTAATTAATAAATTGCTTTTGCTTTTTCTAAGATCTGATCTTTACATATAGCCTAGGTATATCTCAAACACACTATGTTTGAAATGATCTTGAATTTCTGAGTCTCCTGCCTTCATCTCCTAAATTCTGGAATTAAAGACTGATAGCTGGGAAACCAGCACAGGATTGATCCAAACCCCAGGAATGTGGATGTCAGTGAGGAGACCTCGGAAATCCATGGGACCTCCTTACCAGATCAGTACTTATCCCTAGCATAGGTGTGGACTTTGGGAGCTCACACCATATAGAGGGATACTCCCTGAGCCAAGACACATGGGGGTGGGCCTAGGCCCTATCCCAAAGGATATGACAGACTCTGAAGACGCCCTATGGAAGGCCTTACCCTCCCTGGGGAGCAAAAGGGTATGTGAAAGGTAGAGATTTAGTTGGGGGGTGGTAGGGGAGAAGGTCAGGGAGAGGGAACTGGGATTGACATGTAAAACAATCTTGTTTCTAATTCAAATAAAAATGGAAAAAATATGCACCATCACAACCCTTACTCTGTTGACAGCAGAGATCATTGCTGTGTGATAACACACATCTGGTTAGTACCTGCTTTATTTAAAAATGATCCATTTTGAAAGGTAGAAAATCAGTAACAAGTGAAACTATAGAAATAACACAATGTATTAAAATGGTTGCTCACAGACCATCAGCATATCATTTTATAAAGTAAAACAAATAGATGGACTCTAAAATGGGAAACAGTGATCCCTGCCTCCTAGCACCCAGGTTCCTCTCTGTGTGGAATAAATTTATTCAGGCTCTTCTAAAAGAAATAATACACTGAAAATAGTAGTACACTATTATTTTATTAGACAACACTGTGACTCTTAGGTGTTTGCATTTACTCATTTTGTATCCTTCACCTGAAAAAAACTAAGTACCTATTTAAGAAGCAATACTGTAGGAAGGCACAAAACAATGGACAGGGAACTCCAGAAGATTGAACTTGTAAATGGGACCCTGCTCTCAGTTAGAACCTTCATAATAGAGGCAGCACCAGTCAATAAATGCTTTGGATTGTTGGAAGAGAAGAAGTCTCCAGAAGCCCTGATTCATCAAGGGGAAATGGACTGGACCTCAAGAGCAACTGCAACTACAGACACTGAGATAAATTGCAAGAACACCTTGACTTGCTGAGTTGTAGGATAATAACTTTTTAAACAGTTGAACATTAACAAACAGTAGAAGAAGATGACGCATCTCTGGACGT